TTGTTGACTTTTCAACAATCTCCCACTTGAAGATTTGATTGGAACAATCATATCTTCACACCATTCTTTCTACCTTGTACCTTCATGTTGCTTACGTCTCTAACAGGCCACAAGAGGATCGACACCAGGTAAATTTATCAGCTTTGATCGCCTTCATCATGAAATCTGCTATGTTGTCTTTGGTATGGATCTTCTGTATATCTACCGTCCCTTCTTCCACATTTTCACGAATGAAATGGTACTGAACTCGTATGTGCTTTGTCCTTGAATGAAATGTTGGATTCCTTGCTAAATGCAAGGCACTTTGACTGTCACAAAACAGATAGACATACTCTTGATTGTGCCCAAGCTCCTCCAATAACATCTTCAACCAGATTACTTCTTTACTAGCTTGTGTAACTGCTACATATTCTGCTTCTGTTGTGGATGTAGCCACAACTGACTGCAATTTTGGAACCCAGCTTACAACTCCACTAGCATCTTTGAACACATATCCTGTTGTAGATTTGCTTTTATCCAAATCCCCTACATAGTTAGAATCGACATACCCATTGATAAGTAAATTTGATCCTCTGTAACAAAATGCAATATTTGAGGTCCCTTTGATGTATCTCAGGATCCTCTTTACTGTATTCCAATGTTCTTTGCCAGGATTCGCCATGTACCGACTAACCACTACCACTGCTTGTGCAATGTCTGGTCTTGTGCATATCATAGCGAACATTAAACTTCCCACTGCCGATGCATACGGTACTCGAGACATCTCTATCCTCTCTTCTTCATTGCTAGGACTCATACTGGAGGATAATTTGAAGTTATTAGGAAGAGGAGTAGAAATTGGCTTACAATCTTGCATGTTGAATCGTGACAAGATCTTCTTCAAGTAATTCTTTTGTGAAAGCCAAATCTTCCTATTATTTCTTTCTCGGTGAATTTGCATCCCTAGAATCTTGTTTGTTGATCCCAAGTCCTTCATTTCAACTTCCCTAGTCAGTTGTGCCTTCAACAATATAATCTTTGTTGGGTCCTGCAACCAATATGTCATCCACATACAACATCAATATAACAAAATCGTCATCACCAAACCTCTTGAAATAAGCACAAGGGTCTGCATTAAGTCTGTTGTATCCAAGGTACATAATGAAGGAATCAAATCTCTTATACCAACACCTCGGCGCCTGCTTTAGACCGTACAGAGATTTTTTCAACCTGCAAACCAAGTTCTTTTTTTCGTCTTCTTCAAAACCTTCAGCCTGGAGCATGTAAATCTCTTCTTCAAGATTTCCATGAAGAAAAGTTGTTTTAACATCTAGATGCTCTAGATGTAAGTTCAATGTAGCACACATTGCCAAGACTACTCAAACTGTTGCTAGTCGAACCATAGGAGAAAATATTTCATTGAAATCAATACCTTTTTTTTGAGCATATATTTTGACCACCAGTCTTGCATGATACCTCTCAACTCGATCGCCACCATTTCGCTTGATTTTGAAGATCAATTTATTACCAATTGGCTTCCTTCCTTGTGGTAGTGGCACAAGGTCTTATGTATTATTTTTATGAAGGGCTTCGATTTCTTCTTGCATCGCCATCATCCACAATGAAGCATCTGAACTGTTTATTACCTCATGGTATGTTGATCGCTCACCGTCCTCTGTTAAAAGACAGTATGCCATATTTCCTTCTATAACATAATCTGAGTGCCAATTGGGACGTCTTCTCACACGATCTGATTGATGAGTTGTTGGAGCTTCAGAACTCTCTGGTTCTTGTTCATCATGTGTTGGTTCTGCTTGAGAAGAATCTCCTTGTTCAAACTCTTTTTCCACATGTATTTGCGTAGTCTTTGGCTTTTTAGTGCTATCATCATCTTCTTTTCTTTGTAGTTTATCTTCTACAAAGATAACATCCCTGCTGATGATCACTTTGCGGGCAGTGGGATCCCACAATCGATACCCCTTTACACCATCAGCATACCCCAAGAATTTGCATTTCCTAGATTTTGGATCCAGCTTTGAAATTTCTTGGGAGTTGTACATCACGTACACAATAATTCCAAATACATGGAGGTTTGAATAATCAGTTGGTTTACCAATCCACATTTCCATTGATGTCTTCAGCTCTATTACAGTTGATGGAGCTCGATTCACCAAATAACATGCGGTATTGACTACTTTTGCCCAGAATGATTTTTCTAGGCCTGCATCCCTTAACATTGCTCTTGTTCTTTCTAGCAAGGTTATGTTCATCCGCTCTGCCACTCCATTTTGTTGAGGATTGTTCGCCACTGTGAACTGTCTTTTGATGCATTCTTTCCTGCAAAAGTCATCAAAATATTCACTTGTGTATTCTCTTCCATTATCTATTCTGAAACACTTGATCTTATTTCCAGAATCAAGTTCCACCTGCGCTTTGAAGTTTTTGAAAGTTGAAAACACGTCTGACTTTTTCTTAATAGGGTACACCCAACATCTCCTAGAGTATTCATCAATAAATGATACAAAGTATTTTGCTCCGCCTAGGGATGTAACTGGTGCTTGACATACGTCAGAATGAACCAATTCTAGAACACTTTTGTTTCTAGAATTTGACGTGTTGAATTTCAACCGGTGTTGCTTACTTGTTATGCAATGCTCACACATAGTAAGTGATACCTTTGTTATGTCTGAAAGTAGCTTTTTCTCCACAAGGACTTTCATTACTTGTTCTGACATGTGTTCGAGTTTCTATTGCCATAGCATTGCAGAATCTGAACAACATGAGGCAACAGAGGCTTCTACTTCTATCAAAGTCTCTCTCTTCAGCACGTACAAGTTTGCAACTATCTTTTCGCCTTTCAACACCACAAGCGCTTCACGGAACACCTTTATGATTCCTTTCTGTATTTCAATCTTGCTTATATTATTATCCAACAATCCGTAGGATAATAAAATTTTCTTCAGGCCTTTCACGTTCTGCACATCTCGAACAACTTTAATTGTTCCATCATACATCTTCAATTGATGGTTCCCATGCCAATGGTCTCTAAGGTATGATCATTACAACTATACACAGATCCTCCTGAGACATGTTCATAATGATGAAACCATTCTCTTCTTGAGGTCATGTGATATGTTGCTCCCGAATCAATGAGCCATATATCTGCAAATCTTTTTCTGCTTTCCACGGTGGTTGACGCTTCACAATATAGAGCATCTTCATCATCTGAAGTGTTTGCGGTACTACCTTGTGGATTAGAGTTTTTATTTAGACTCCAACAATCATTCTTTAAGTGACCCTTCTTTCCACAGTTGTAGCACTTAAAATTCTTCTTGCTCATTGACTTCGATCTACCATGTTTGTGACTACTGCTTTGGTCACGTTCTGTTGATCTTATTCTCATCGTTGTCAACGCTTCTGCTTGTTGTAGATTTACTTGTCTGTCTTCCTTGTTCTTGCGTCGATTTTCTTATTGTAGAACAACAACTGCAACGTCATCGAAGACTAGACTGGTGACATTATTGTTTGTCAAGTTGATTATGAGTTGATCATACGAATCCAGTAGACTTTGAAGTAGAAGTTCAACATGTTCTTGTTCTCCTATTGTACATCTTAAGGATGTAAGCTGAGAAAATAAAGTGTTCAATTTGTATAAGTGTTCTGTCACTGAAGTAGATTCTGACATCCGAAGAGTGTACAATTTTCTCTTAAGGAAAATTTTATTATGCAATGATGTGGCCTCGTACAGTTTGGTGAGATGATCTCATATCTCCTTAGATGTCTTCTTCTCCTCGATGCTTGACAATACTTCATCTGCTAATGCTAGATGAAAGTTTGCCATAGCATTCCCGTCCATTTCGAACCATTTGTTGTCATCTGTGAAATCTACCGGCCTTTCACTGATAGCTGCTAGACAACCGTCTTTCCTCAGGATGACATTCATCTTCAATTTCCATAATGAGAAATTTCTCCCATTGAATTTTTTAATATCAAATTTCGTCGCCATAGCTTATTTTACGGATAGCTCCCACTATTTCACTATCGTGAATAGTTCTCTGGAATCTTCAAAGAATGAGTAATACCTTCTTACTTTATTATGTTGGAGGATACACCTTTTGGTGGCAACTACAAAGACAATAAGTAGATATTACACACTCTAATATGGCTCTGATACCAATTGTTGTGGAATACGACTATCGGATAGAGCAAAATCGTAACTGATAATTTGAGAAAATAAAAATAGATATAAAGAAGACACAAATTTTACGTGAAAAATCCCTGAATAATATAGGATAAAAACCACGGGCAACGGTAGAAGAATTTCACTATGAGAAAATAGGAATTACAACTTCTTTCGATCTACCAAGGATAAAACAATGACAATTCTCTCTTGATAGAAAGGAGAAAACAACTCTCAAGAAACTCTCTAAATTCTCTAGTATTGAGAGAAAGCTATAATGATTTGGGATGGTTTTGAAGTTAAATGATCTAGGGTATTTATAGTTGAACCTTAAGGACTAATTTTATAAATACCCTAAAGTACAATGACAAAATTATGATTTTACCATTGTGTGCATGCACCGAAAGCTCTCCTATTTGCAGCGAAAGTGATTTGGCCACTTTTGCTAACTTTTCAACAATTTCTTCATCAAAAAATCCCATCATATATTTTAAGAATCAAATTATATAAAATTAATTTTATTTACGAATTTTTTATCAAAAAAGTTATTGATGATTTTTCTTTCCTAACACTGTGGATCCACGACACAGGCAATACCTTTCCAATAGACTTCTTATTTGTTCAAACAGAAGAGCTTTTCCATTCCAAGCTTTTTACAAGGGTAATGCTAAATTAATCAAACAGCAACCAAATTTTCTACATAAAATTTTCTTTTCTATAATTCCCCAGATTTCAGAATAAACAGAAGAACATCTGAGAGAACAAAAAAGAAAAGAAAAAGAAAAAAAACCCTAAGCAATTCACCATTGATTTATTAAGCTTATTAGGACATGAAGAACATTAGAGGCAGAAACACCGGGAAGAACTAACCATTGATTAGTTTGACTGACACTGAGTTCAAAACGATAATAGTATTAAATTGTAATTGCAGTTACGATATTACAACTGCAATTTAATACTATGGAAACGATGCCCTCTTCACGAACCTCCCTTTCATTCGTGGCCTCTTATCAGCATTCAGTTTCCGAACCTCGTACCTTATTTTCTTCGAGAACAACCTCGTTCTCCGTTTCTCTCTGTATCTCGATACTCTTGCTTCTCTTGCTCCATCTCCCATTGTCGGAATTTGTCCTCCCATGCAAATCAAACCACCGTAGCTATGGCGAACTTCTTCTCCTTCATTTCCCTGCGAATTTGAAGTCAAATTCATTGTAAACACTGGTATATGGAGGGCATAAAGTAGAAAGCTTTAAGTTTACTTACCATGCAATCGGTCCAGCAATCGTCGGGGTTAAAATCTGGTCGGCCACCGGACGTCCACGGGGAGCCTTGGGTTGCCCATGAAGAGATGATTGATTCATAATCTAAGCTCAAAAATGGTTCCTTCTTCTTCGTTTTCTCTGTATTCTGTTCGTATTCCACTTCCCCTTTACTCTTATTTACCACTTCTTGCTTTTTAAACTCATCCTCTCGGCCGCAGCTTGCCGGGGAATCATAGTTAAAGCTTAACTCAAAAGGTTCGAAACTCTCTTCGTCTTCAACCTTCACTTTACCGTTTACCATTGAACAGTCTCTAAAGTCCTCTTTGGAGTCGATTAGCCCCAGCTCCTCCATTGCGAACGACTCGTTTTCGAGACCCTTACCGAGCAGGCTCTCGACATCGGCGGCAAACTCTGCAAGATCCATCTCGGAAGGGAAAACCCCATTCGAACCGTCAGCCAATAAAGCTTTAGAGTCGGTCGAAGTGCATAATTCAGCAACAAAGGGATCAAATATCGGCACCCTATAAAGCAACTGCTCCTCTTCATTCTCTTCATGCGATATCTCATCGACACCGATTTCCGGCACGATAGAAACGAGGTCGTTCTTCCTTCTGGAGCCCTTCACGGGTCGCTTCGTCCTTGCCTTTTTAGTAAACCCTCGATCCCACGACGGTGAAAAGCTATCCGAGGAATTAACCGAAGCGGTTTTCAGGCGAACTCGTGTATGTCTACGAGCAAACGGATTCACCAAATGAACCGAAGAATCACAGGCTTGACAAAGGAAAACATCGTCGGCAGCACAGTACCATCGAGCCCTTCTCTTTATACAGCTATCACAAGCTCTAACGTGCCTGGCACCAACGGCGTTGGCCATCTTCTTCTTGGTAGATAACATGGAACACAAAAGAAAAAGAAAACTGGGGACTGATCAAAGCTCAAACAGAAACAGGAAATGTTGAATCGGTGCTTTATTTGCAGAGACCTTAAAGTGGTACAATTATTTGTATATGTGACCCACAAACTACTCTTTTACAGTATTTTTAAAAGCCATTGCTTGCACTTTTGGGTCCATTCAACAGGCCTTATCTGGATTCCCAATGGTTGAGGCTGTAAAGTTGATCCTAATCTCTGCATTCTCATTGGATACATCTCTGATCGAGGGGATTTCCTGTGGTCCAATACACCAAGGACGTGAGAATGAGTCATTTGAATCGATCCTACTGAGTTTCCTTGTCAACCTTTTCTTTTTCAGTCTGCTAGGGTTTTGAATGAGACAGTTTTGTTTCTGAGTTTTTCTAACAGCTGCATTATACCTGTTGTTGTTAGTAGTCGGATCCCTTTTTGTGCGGTCCCCTCTTTGCGCACTTGCCATATCCATTTTTCACTTTCTTGATGCTTTGGTTCTTTTTTGTATCTCACTGCAACAGGGTCATGCAAACCAGTGTAATCTTCACACTTAAGTTTACATGGATCATATAACTTTAAACTTATAAAGTGATATCAGTTTAAGAATAGTATTATTCCTTCACAAGATTTTGAAATCGAGTAACTATATCTACACACTAGGTCATTAAAGACTTAATTTTTCTAGACATAATATAAATAAAGAAGACAAAAAAGTATCAAAGGTCAATGTTTTTCGTCATTGACCATTACAGTATACTGACATGTCAGTGTATTGACGTGACAGTTCATCTGTCATGTTTGAGCTACCAATTTAGTCAATCTACCATGTCATCTGCCACCTTAGACTACAATATCAGTACTGTGTATTGTCATGTCAGCAACATGAACTATCATATCAATACCGTAACGATCAATGATAGAAAATTTTTAATCAAATGACCATATTATATTTATTTTCTGAGTTGAATAGCTATATTGAAAGAAAAAATAATACGATGATCACATTATTATTTTTTTGAACAACACAATAGTTTCTTATTAAAATACAAAGACCTCTGGTGATTTTTGTCAATTAAAAAGAAGAAGCCACAAATTAAAATTTATAATTAGTATTTATTTAATTCATAAACCGATACACAATCATTTTATGTCATTAAAGGTTCAAGTCTTGCACGACAAAGACTGTTCTTGGTATATCTGTGGAATAAAACCCCGAGCCAATAGGTTTCTCAAACTAGAAGATAATAAGATAGAATAGGGTTGCTTATGTGTTTAGGTCTTTCAGCACGCAAGTTGATGGGTTTAGGGTAAATTGGATAGGGTGATGTGGAGATATGATCTTAAATGCATAAAAATCAAACGCACTAGAAAAATCACGTTTTGATTATTATTTCTAAGCTTCAAAATTATGATATATATAAATTGAATCAACTCCGTAATAAAGGAATTGTTGTTATTTCTTGGATATCCGAGATTGAGCACCATGAATGTCAGGGATATGAGCATTTAATATTACAAGAATAAAAGTTGTCTCATAACATATACTGACATATAATTGTCTCACGTACCTTACATTCTCATAAATATATGTTGGGCTATGAATTTGAAAATAAGCCATGAATCTGACAATAAGTTATGAGTCTGAAAATAAGTTATTAATTTGGAAATAAGTTCTGAATTTAGAAATAAGTTTTGATTCAGAAAATAAATTCTGAAATGTGAAAGTATTTATTATGAACATGGAATATGACAATGAATATGTGAATGAATATGAAAGTGGAAAATGAGAATTAAATAAGAAAGTTCTGAAAAGTATTTGAATGAAATAGAGTATGACATGATTGTTATGTTTATTATTGATTATCATGATTTTTGACAAAATCATAAGATGATGATTTTCATGTCTCTGATGAGGAAAGATGACTTGAATAAATCGGTTTAGATATTTAATGATTTTATTTGAATTTAAGTTTAATGTTTTGAATTGTTATGATATTTTAAGTTAAGTTTTATATAAAGAAAAATAATGTTATGATGTTGTTAAGTTGTTTAATATTTTATGTCACCTTAGTTTGTTTATAATGTCTCACTAAGTGAATACTTAGCATGCGATGATTTTCACGCGTAAGTAAAGAAGGGCAAGTGAAGTAAGGAGTCGAGTTGACATCAATCAACAAAGAACAACTACATGTATCAATAATGGCATCGTACTATTTTAAATTTTCTAGATGACATAATACGAATAAGATATCTCTAAGATATATTATTAGGGTTATAAATATGAATCAAAGTTTTATATTTTAGATAAAAATTATATTTTACGAGAACAAAGAAATATTTTAAAATTATGCAGTTTTTAAGCAGTATTGTTTACTATTGAACTACTAAACTTCTGCCTAAAATTAAGCTTGATTTATATGATAATTATTATTTATGATTTTACAAAATTCATGGAATAATTGTAAAGTTAATAATGGAATGTTTTATAATGAAACAAAATTTTAAGCATTTATGATCAATGAATGTTTGTAAAGTTGATGTGACATCTTTAACTCATATTTTGAGGCGTATACGGGCTATAGGTGTTACAAGGAGTGTTGTTCTCCCTTGAGATATTGTGTTCAAGCAGTTGTGTCTGCAAGGGGTGTGTGTTGTCAATGGTTAAGAAAGATTATGAACAAATACTACCTTGTAATCACCCAAAACTATTAAAAAACCCGAAAGCCAGAGGAAAATGACTTCAACCAAATTGTTCGATCATAATAGAATCATTATATACAAGTCGTCCCCATTTTCTCCGCCTCTCCATCATTGGAATTTGGAAGAAGATGCTCCAACATCGAAAAAATCAAAAGGAATCTAAAAACTAAGGGGTTGTTTGTTTACTTCAGAATGATTAAGCGCTGAATGATTCAAATGCTGAATGATTCAGAGGTTCTGTATGAATTAGCTCTAAATGTGACATGCTATTTGATAATGGCTCTGAATCATTCAGAATGTACTTATGTGTTGAATCATTCAGCACTGTTTTCTTGAATCAGTCAGCACTGAATCATTCAGAGGTGCGAAACAAACGCGCTGAATGCTAAACGGTTCAACATTCAGCGCTGAATGATTGCATTAAGAGGCAACACAAACAACCCCTAAGTTAAAAATTTAGAGACAAAAAATTAGGAGTATTTTCACAAATTTAAAAGAAATTTACGGGTGTTTTTCATGATTTTTAAAAGTGTATACTCTATCATAACGTCGTTAAATGAATAATGAAACAGTGACAAGGAACAGAGCAATACAAAAAAGGAATGATCAAATTAAAAATTTTGAAAGTTTAATGACAAAAACAAAATTATTATCAAAGTTGAATGATAAAATTTGTAGTTTGCCCATAACTTAAATTCAATGAATACAACTTGAACCCAACTGTGAACAAAATGATAATCCAATTCAAGATGCTTGTGAGAACACCAGAAGTTTAGCTCCTCACACCAAGCCTGAGTCCATAAACGGATTTTTGAGGCCCTATTGAGCCCAATATCATCAAACCAATTTTCTTATAGGTAAAGTACACAAATGATCCCCGACTAAAGCGTATTACTTTGTTGAGTCCCCTTATTATTAAAAGTTACAAAACAGTCTCCTGCATATACGACATTGTTTTGTTGAGTTTCTCAACTATTACAAGTTATAAAATGGTCATTCGACTATTCATATGTTCCAAATTTGTCATTTTCCGTTAAAAAATTTGTGATTGTTTGATTTGCTTGTTAACTTATTTATAGAGATATGATAAAGCTTGATCCCAAAACCATTTGAAGTGTATTTTGTTGATCAATTCTTTGTTTATATTGTTCCATTGAGTCTGTACTTGAGAGTAACGACGACACTAACAAAGATCATTAAAATATGATTTTATTATATCTCAATTAGCATGTTAACGTCCAACTCAGATAACCGTCAAAATTTTTAATGGAAAATGACGATTTTGAAATATATGAATAGTCGAGTGATCATTTTGAAACTTTTAATAGTCCTGGGACTCAACAAAACAATATCATATAGTAAGGAGACCAGTTTATAACTTTTAATAATTAAGAAACTTAACAAAAATGACATCTTATATTGGGGGATCAGTCGTGTACTTTACCCTTTTTTTTCTTTCTTCCTTTTAGTTCAAATCCTTCCAAAAACTTTCGACAACTCTAAATAAGCAATAAAACATGAAATAAACAGATTCTAAAGTGGCCCTTCGTTTCGAGTAGTTTCAAAATTTTACGCGGAGAGTCGGAGGAGGCCGCCCGACGAGTGGACTGAATGGCCTAAGGACTAAAGTCGGCAGAGTAATTCCAAAACAAATCAAATTGGTTTCTATTTTTAATACTAGAACAATATTAGTACTTAAAAATTAATTAAATTATAGATGAGTCACCTAAGTGTGGCTTTCCCTATTTATTAAGGACCTGATAATGACTGATTACACCCTTTGCCTTTGTTTTTTTCCTCTTCCTTGCATCATTGTCATCTACATTTCCCCCCTTTTGTTTTTTCTTTCTTACAGTTTTACCCTTCACAAATTCCTTTTTTCCTTCATTGAACAATTTACTTTATTGAGAGAATTTATTTTCATTAATAAGTGTCTTTCGTGGTAAATGAATTATTGTTATTTTTTAGGATTCGGGTTCGAGCACCATAGATGTCAGGGGTGTAAGCATTCAATGTCGAAAGGTTGATAGTTATCTTTAAACAGATACTACCTTGTACTTACACTAGATTAATAAAAAAAACTATTACTTTTGTTCCATTTTGGTATCCAAACTTTAATTTTTTTCCAAAACCATATTTAATGTTTATTTTAGGTTTCAATTTGGTACACTTTCGTTAAAAATTTAACAAATTGCTGACGTGATATTTTTTTATTTTTTTTCAATAGTGACATAACATTACCTTATATGACACGTCGACATCACCGTTTATTTTTTAACGGTGGGTACCAAAATGAAACATGCACTAAACGTTAAGTAT